TCTTCATTTTTTACTTGCGCCAAATCATTTTGGCATGGTTGAAATGAGCCTAAAAAGTTCTATTGATCTGTATTTTTCGTTATTGCATAGCTGAACGGTCGGTATTCGGTATTCGGTAGATTTGTTCCGGAAATGACGAATTACTTAAATCAAAAATGCATATTTTTATGTATTGTTGAGTATTTCCATTAAAACACCAAATATATTGCAAATTCGCATTTTACTTCTAATTGTATACTTTGCGTACTTTTTGTAGTACCATTCTACTACCGTTTTCGCAAAATGCGATCACATTCTTCCCCTTTCTCTTACTTCCAAAATACAAATCTTGATAAAGGAGTGTCAAATTTTAGCTGTCACAAATTATACAACCTTGTATTATTGAATCATGATCATGGTGAAATAATAATAAGGTGTTGTCACTTAGGGGGTGGTTGTTGTAGTTTTGGCAATTTCGGCATACCAGCGTTACAGTAATGCCTACTCTATTTATTCCAATTTCCTTTCTGGGCAAAATAGAACAAAAAATGTAGCAGACAACAATCTTGTGAAAAAAGTAAGCGTAGGTATCACTATTTCTTTGAGTCTCCTTTTCTCTGACTTTTCGTTTCAAATTTATTGGAAAATCTGAGCGATAGTTTGCAATAATTGTGATTTTGTAAGTAAATTTTTGCTAAAATATATACATATATATGTGCATATTGATGAAATTTAATTGTTTATATATTTCTTCAAATAGGTTGAGCTATTATCCCGCAAAAAGCAGCGATTTATTCAAGATAATTCCAGGTAAGTTTCGCAAACTAAATGCATTCACCAAACTAATGTATTTTTCTCACAAAAGGTTTTTAGAACAGCACCTTTTAAGTTTTAGAGCTGGCTACAGTTGTTTATTGGGGCAGTGTCTCATCAGCGGCGCTACCAACAGCGGTATTATAAGCAAGTTCCAGGTAGGAAATTGTTAAATCCAACATATCTATATCATCAGAATCTAACCAGTCTTTATGTTTGTGTTTTAATAAGCAAGTTCCAGGTAGGAAATTATGAAATCCAAAACATTTATATTATCAGACCCTAACTAGTCTTTATGTTTGTGTTTCTTCCAACAGATTTTTGGAGTAGTGCACACCAGCAGCATCATCACCTTCTACAACTAGGGATTTTTCAATTGCGTTTCAGGTAAGAATTTAGCAATTGCCAATGAATCAAATTGGTAACTGATTTTTTTATTTGTTTTTGGCTTACACCCNAACATATCTATATCATCAGAATCTAACCAGTCTTTATGTTTGTGTTTTAATAAGCAAGTTCCAGGTAGGAAATTATGAAATCCAAAACATTTATATTATCAGACCCTAACTAGTCTTTATGTTTGTGTTTCTTCCAACAGATTTTTGGAGTAGTGCACAC